GGGTCGAGCCGGTGTCGGTAGACGTGTCCTGACAGGCATTAAAACAGGTCACCTTCAAGACAGCTGGTGGCTTTTTTTGGCGAATCGTCTTTACTTAATCCTCCCCAGAGTAAAACAATAGTTGTGACGTAAAAAAGCAGTTCTGCGAAAACAGTTTGCTTTGGCGTGTTCAAAACGTTTTGCAAGCTTTGTTATTCTGTTAAATGCCGTGCAAATTCGTGAGTCTTCTCAAATCCTTCAGCATCCGCTGCTTGATAGAAACGCTGTTGGCTGTTGCGCTTAATATCGCTGGTTGCCTCTAGCTCAGTACTGTGAACACTGCCCAATCCTGCCTTGCCGGGCTGCACCCAGAGGTGCTCTATAGTAGTCTGAAGTGGAGCAGGGCTGCAGGCTGAACTCCTCTTGTCTGTGTAGAGGAGTCTGTTTCAAGGGCAGAGGGATTTGCAGAAGCGGTTCATCGCTGCTTGTTAATAACGGACCTGAAAATACTTAAACTAAACTTCGCAGGCTCTGTTGACGCTCTGGAAAGTTACTGTGGCAGAGAGCAAACGATAGCGCAAGGTCACTTCTAGCGCCGGTCCTGACTGCTGTCCTCTGCCTCTTTAGGTTGGCCGCCCTGCCAGAGAAACCCCCGGCCATCGACTGGGCTCACTACAAGGCTGCTGTTGCCAAGGCTGGCATGGTGGATGAGTTCCAGAAGAAGGTCAGTATCTTTGTCAGCCGGGTATTGCTCTTTGGAGGTTTAAATGGGGAACGTCTTTGGTGTGGAGAGGAAAACACCGAAACTGGTGAGGAGGTTGGTGTTGGCTAGCAGGTGCCCCGGCTTTACATCCTGCTAACCTCGAGGAGGCCCCTTCAGCGCCCTCTTTCAGGAGGAAACCTGTGGCACTCTACGGTGAGAAAGCTGGTGAAAGAAAACGCGATAAATTATTTTGGCTGCAGGAGTGAATTCGGGTAGTGCCCCTCCTGAAGCAACCCCTCAAAGTATTTCTCTCACTCGCTGAATGGGAGACGGTGGCGAGCGTGGCTCTGCACACTGTGAAACCTGTAAAGCTAGCGGATGCCGGCAGGGGTTGCCATCCTCCTTATACGCAGGAATTGAAAAGCACGAGTGAGGCTCTTGCTGAGGGACGCGTGGTGTCACTGGCACTATGAAACTTGGCCTCCCAAGACTGGGAGGACCCACTGACCGCAGATGGGTCTGGGAGCTTTGTCTTGGGGGAAATAAGTCTGATACGATAAGTCTTCAGTATTAGACTTCCTCGCTTCCTTACAACGCCGTGCTTTGCTCTCCACAGCGCGGTGATGAATGCGTGCACTGTTAGGTGTCCTGGTGGTGGTATGCAGTACAGAACAGATCGCTTTAGGCGCACAGGTGAGCAGTGCTGCCTGTGAAGGACACAGTCGAGCTTTAGTGATCAGTTTTAGAAAGCTCGTTAACTGACGCTGTTGTGAGCATATCCTAGGAAGAAAGGAGGGAATGCTCCCCTGCTGCTAGGGAGAATGACCTTGGCATGAAGGATTATTTCAATCAATCAAACTGTATAAAAATTTTTCGATTTACAGTTCAGTGCACTAAAGGTTCCTGAGCCGGTGGATACACAGACTGCCAAAATTGATGCCCAAGAGCGGGAAGCTGTAAGTGTTTGAACTGTTCCCTAATGCCGGGTTGTCTCTGACTCCTGTGAAGATGGGAAGGGGTGTCCTGTACGTACATCTGCACAGGCAGGGCAGCCTGAGCTAGAGCGTGGCTCTGGTCTTCGCACGTGTCTCTGGCTTTTGGCTAAGCAAGAGGATCTCTGCACGTGGAAGGGTTTGGCTACTTGGGATTTGATCAAGATTCCGTCCACTTACCTAGTGTAATGATGAATTGTAATGCCAACTTAAAGCATGGGGTTGCAGGTTCGCTCTAGGTCACTGCCTTTATCGTAACCATATTCCCCACGTCCTCTGCTTTCCTGCAGGCAAAGAGCACTGCTGAGTATGTGCAGGCTTCCAAAGCTCGTATTGCCCAGTATGAGCAACAAGTAAGTCTGGACTTTGCTTAGTGAATATTCTCTTTAACCCAGCCTGGCACACACCTTGGTCTTACCTCTGTGTGCTTTGCTCTTTCTTGCTGACGCGTGGCTCGTAACGTGTTTGTTTCTGCTCCCACTTCAAGCTTCAGAAGCTCAGAAGCATGATTCCCTTTGAACAGATGACGTTTGAAGACTTGCATGAAGCCTTCCCTGAAACCAAACTGGACAAGGAGAAATATCCGTACTGGCCCCACAGACCGATTGCTGATCTGTAAACTTGTCTGGAAGCAGTTTGTCTAACGACTGTCAGACTCTACGATCTTCTAAATAAAATGCTTTCCCTCCTGTTTGTGGCTTAGATCTTAGACGTGAGGTTGCAAGGTTTTGAGAAACGTGGAACAATACACTAACTTGCAAATAGCCCAGTTTTCCTGGATTTTGTCTCTTCTACCCGTGAGCTCGCTTTTGTAGCAAGGACCGAGATCCCAGCTAGACCTGTTGATAAAACTGAGTCCTGTTGCATCTTCTGTAATGCAAATAAACTCTCTGTTCACCTCTGTAACCACGTGGTGCGGGGAATGTCGTCGTTCTGCCATCGCAGGCAAACAGTTGCTGAGGAGTTGAACGTTTAAAGCCTTCTGAGATGCCGGGGTGTATTTAGTAGTGATCTCCGATGCAGTGGGAGAGGAGTCTCAGTAGTTCTACAGGCAGAGGTCTGTTTTCTAGGTTGGTTGTGATGGTTTAGGTGCAGCCAATTGCAAAAGGAGTTGGAGCGTAGATGTGTTGAGATACATTTAAAAAAAAAAAAAAGTTATTTTTGAATTTTTTTTAAAACATCCTGGGTATCACCCTGTTAATCCTGGTGATCCTATTACTCTCTGTCCTGGTTTTCTGAATGATGTGGATCTCGCTGAAACTCACAGAATAGTACAAATGCTTCAGACTTGAACTGGTTTATTTAATTGTCTGAGGTGGAATTCTTAAGCACCTTTCCCCAAAATGGAAATGTCTCTGTAGGAGAAGGGCATTAACTCCCTTTCCTGATGGTCATGTTTGTGGTAAGAATTACAGATGGATAAAATGAAGGTATTGCTCCAAGATTTCACAATTTTTTTATTCAGCTACCTTGCTAGCGCACAGAATACTTGAAGAACATGCGTAGTTCTACTGAACTAGAGTACAAAGCACTAAGCACGCAGATCTCATGCCTTGTGGGTTTGTGGGTTGTTTTATTTAGGCAGCTGAAACAACTGCAGCTCTATGAATCAAGCAGGAAAAAAAATTACAGTGGAGGGGTTAGAAGCAATACCACGGAGAAGGACGGAGCCAGCACTGTGCAGAGCTGGTCTCTAGCTGCTCCATTTTACAGAAACGATAGCAAAAAAAACCAGGGACAGGAAGAAGTGACTGTAGAAAAGCACCTTCTCCAGAACCGGCAGAAATAGGTCCTGCTCCTGCGGTTGCCGGTGGGGCTTGGCTGGCCGCCCTTCCTCCGGGGCCGTTTTGGGAAGGTGCAGCAGCTGGGTGCCTTCCTTGGCGAGGTGTTTCACGGTCTGGTTGTTGGTGGCTCTCGTCGCCAGCTCGGTGCGCGCATCTGCAAAGAGCAAATGGCGCGTCAGTATAGGGGGGCTGGTGGGTCACGACCACGACTGATGCTGCCTGGGGCGCTGGTCGCCCTGAGGAACCCCCCCCTCGCTCAAAGGAACCTGCGGTAAAGTGCAGGTAACCCGGCCTGCTTGTTTTAAGAGGTTATGGGTTGCTTTACCTGGCTGGAAGCTTCTGAGAAGCTTGTCGGAGCGTAGGGGTTTGTGCTGCTGGTGCAACAGGAGGAAGGTGTCTAACACAGCCATGATCATGAGCAGGAAGGTGCCTAAGAAGAATACCACTGCAGAACAATATGAAAACAAAGAAAGCCCGTGATAATTGGCATTGTTTTCTTGAATCTCTAATCCTGTCTGCGTTCAGTTGCCTGGTGGGGAAGAGGGGAAATTTCTGACTCCAGCAAGCTGATAAAGCTTAGTTGTTCATGACTTCAGTGTTCATGAACGTGTCCATAAATGCCCAAAGACCTCCGTTAGAGTTGGTACCTGTGTAAAAAACAGTTAGTTTTTATTCAGTGAAGACGGGTACCTATTACAGGTGGTTTGTTGGAGGAAGTTGGAAGGATGTTGTTGAGAATCACAGCTAACATGGAGCTGCCAAGGATGATGGCAATCTGGAAATTGATTTTGTCTTCGAGAGAGCTGGGTCCAAACAACACAGCCATATCCAGCAGGTACAGGGCGCATGTTGGGAGGATCAGGTTCAAGATGTACAGAGTGGGTTGTCTCTCCATGGAAATCTGTTGAAGAAGACAGACAAAATTTAGGTGAGCAGGAGACAACTTACTGTGTTGGGCGAATGCTTGTTCCCTAATGTGGAAAATTATCTTGTTTCATACTTTTTTTTTTTTTGGTGGCAAATCAGTACAATATAACATGGAAGTACTGCCATACCACGTAGGTGACCACAGAAAATTCTCCATCACACAGCTCTTCTATGTATTCAATGATGCTCAGGTTGGTGAACTTCCATTCTCCATCAGTTAGGAAGTAACTCTGGCTGTCTTTCATCATCTCAGCTGGTGTCCGTCTTGTCTTCATGACAAGGTCTGTTACTGCTTGGGCAGGAGGGAGAGGAGGAGAGAAGTGGCAAAATTCAGGTATTTATTAGAGGTTGGTTATTTCCTCTCCCTTTCCCTCCCAACCAAGAGTGTGTGCAGATGGGGAAAGGCAACGTTTCTCCCACTGCTGGGGTTTCTTAGCCCATCAGGAAGAAATTAAAAAGGACTCTGGTGAAGACGCTCGGCCGGACCTCTGGGAATGCGGATCTGAGGGGAAATCTCTGGTGAATTAGGACAGTTGTCCTTTGCGGATGGGAGCTGGAGGGTTCTCCAGCTTATTTTTCAACCCTTCCTGTTGGGATGCACTCTGAACGCAGTTTGGATCCCTGAAACTGTCCTTAATTTCCTCTTGTTTCCATGGCTTTCAGGTATGTTTAAATATCAGTCTTGCAAAATCGTATGTGAACAAGTAGCCTTGTTGCAAGAAGCCTGCTAGTCTCTTGGTTTGTAGGGACCAGTCCTGGGGGGGGGGACATGGACACAGACTTGCCACAGAACATCCAGATGCTTCCAGAGATGTTGCTGGGAAAGGTGCCAAAACAGAATGACAGTCTTTTAGCTCATTTTCCCTGGTGTTACATGACCCCAACCCCACTGCCCAAGTGTGAGTGTGTGGTGCTGCTAAGGGAACCCGGGAGTTAGCCAGGGTCCATCTCACCTATTCCTCCTCCTGCAAATTTAGCCCAGCTATGGTAAAACTCAGCTTGCCGCTGTACCTGGGTAGAGAAATGAAGCTATGCTCAAGTTGCACGTCTGGGTGTCAAAGGGAAACTTGAGGATCATCAGGCTGCACGTTAAGGTAACCTGGAAGGCCTGGGTGGAGTCGAAGCTGCCGTTGTGCATGACGGCCATATAATCCAAGTTTGAGTTTTGTCCGTTCACTCTGGAGGAAACAAAAGTGGAGAGCGACCGAGCTCCAAGGCACTGCAATGCTCCTCAGTCCCACAGAAGCGTGGCCTCTAAGCATCCTTTCGGGGGGGCCCCGCACTGTCACCCAGCCGTGGGAGGTGGTAGTGAGGAGAGGAAGCTTGGGGCTTGAAGAAGGGCTGGTGAGTGCCTCTGGGATAAGGTTTGTAGTAGCTGAACTCACACACAAGACGGTTGGTTTTTCCCCCCTGCATCTCCTAAGGAAACTTCCCGCTCTCACCTGGGGCAGGGGCTCACTGCTGGCTCTGCTGTGCTGCAGAGCTGCCTCCCCTTCCTTCCCCCCCAGCCGAAGAGCTGGCAGTGGTGCCCATCCCTCTGTCAGACCCACAGTGGTCTGTCTATCTCACAACAAACTGCTAAGGGTCATTCCATTCCACAGCATTGCTGGTCTCTGATGCTTCCTCAGCTTTAACTACAGCCCAGATGGGACATTTCTGGAGATGTTACGATATTACGGTACCACAAAGTGCTTTGTATAAACCGTGGTCGCCATTAATCTAAATTCCAAGGTTCTTGGTTACAGAGAGCTCATGGGAACAACTTTTAACCGTATGAGTTTATCCCATTTCTACAACAGTACCAACAGTTTGCATCCGTTGTATTTCTCTTAAGCCAGTGGATAAAAATGAAAGGGGAACCTACCGCTCTAAAATGAAGATGGGGGGAGACCAATACGTATCCGTGGGCAGAACGACTTTGGAAATGTTGCAGAAATCCTGCGGGTCCCAAGTTGCAAAAGTGTTTTTCCACTCCTGGGGGAAGAAGTTGCAGGAGAGAAATGAGTGCCGGGCTCAGCACCAGCCATCATGCTGGGCATCACAGGAGAGAAATGCTCTCGAGGGACCTACCAGGTTCAACACAAAGTAAAAAGTGACCGTCTGGAGCTTTTCAACCTGGAGAAACAGAAGGGAAGATATTTAGCTGACTCTCTTAGGTACATCCAATGCAGAGCCCAGCAGCTCTCCCCTGTTCTTCCTGCAGTGGACAGCAGAGGTTGCAGAAACTCAGCTCAGGAGGAGAGCTCAAGGACTTTGGTGCTACGACTGAAGAGAAGAGGGAGCATATGAGCCAATGATTTGAAAAAAAAAAACAGATTATTGCTAACATTTACATGCCAGTGCCCTGCAGCTGCATTGCTCTGTTCGCGCACTCCACACAGTTGCTTCTCGAGCCTGGTACAAAGCGGGCTGTTTGTCTGTGCCTGCCTCCGGACTTTTTCCTGGAAGTAGGTGGGAGAAAATACTCCGGGTCTTCAAAAAAAGCTTTCAAACAGCAGAAAGCTGAAGTGGAAGGGGCTGATTCTCATTCCCGTGGCCTTGCTGGCCCAGCCCTGCCTGGCAGAAGGCTCAGATCCCAATCTAGCAGTCACCCCACTTTCTGTTATAAAGACTCGACAGGAGTTTTAGGTCCTTACCACGGAGAGAATAGCCACCAGCATAAAATCCATCGTCACTTCCAGAGGCTCCTTCAAGTTTGTCTTGGGCAGTATGTGTGCGTGCAGCTTGCTGTGAGAGGAAATGTTCAGGTACTCAACAACATCGTAGTAGGTGCAGACGTCCCGCGGAGCAGCCCCTGCTAGAAAAAATTCCACTTGAGCCAGAAAAGGATCAGGCAAGATCTCAACCTGTGAGAGAGAGATGCACCAAAAGAGAAAGGGCATGGAGCTGTGGACGTGAAAACATTAACACGGGCAAATCCCTTCTCACACAGATGAGAACAGAGTTCCTCCAAGCTTTTCTATCCCTCTTGAACTTACCTGTCCCGAGAGAAAAGGTGAGGATAGCTATAAAAGCTCGCTGCATCATCTCCTGCTTCCAAATAGGGAGGC